ACTGTGTTTCTGTCCAGTCCAACTCTTTGAGTTCTAACTATATACCACAGATACCAAAGGGAAGTGTAATGGGTTGGAACGGAGGGGTCATAGTCAGCCATCCTAGTGTGACCCAGGCCACATCCCTTAAGCAGCAGCAGCAGCAGCAGCCAGTGGTCCAAACGCCACAGGTAAATATCCATCATGCTGTCATCACTAAGGAAACTGGAAATGAATTATCTTGTCGGACAGCTGAGAACTGCAACATTGTAGGCAGAGGAGGCAGCGTTAGCAATCATGGACACACTGGAAAAGGTGAAGCTGGCTGCAGCTCGTCCATAAAGACTGGCGTTAGCTGCTTGCCTGGCGTTCCCAAAAGTCAAAACAGCAGTTACAGTGAGGGCAGCATTATGACTCTGACGAACATAGTCAGGAAAATTGACTGTCGTATCAATGACAGGAACGCAAATTGCACCAGCAAATCTAACATTAGTCCAACTTCCATTTATGGCCAACAGAAGGCATCCGGTAATGCAAAAGAAAACAGCAACAACTTTGCCACCACCAGCAAATATAACAACGGAAGCACTTATAAAAGCACCAGCCACAGTACTATTTGCACTAAAAGGGAGGGAAACATCTTAGACCACACCAGCAAAAGCAACGCTGACACTAGTGTCATTTGTAGCAGCAGCAGCAACATACAAGCTGAAGAATTTATACCACCCCTTACCCATAGCCTGGTTCCACAGCCTGGAAGTCTCATGGATCCATCCCTTGGAAAGGGCAAGGTATTACCTGAGCAACCAGTGACTTTGAAGCAAAGCTTTATCCATAACCCATTCCCAGAACAAAAGCAGTTTCTTGCACCCCAAGGTCAACCATACCACATACGTTCTTTGACAGACTCCCAGTCTGCTGTGGGGGGATCATTTAGTAACATGCCCCAGAGCTCCCTTCAGTCTAGCCCTTCAGCAAGTTCATGTCTTCAGGAGGAAACAAGTCAACACTCCTCTCCATCCCTTTCTGCTCCTCAGGAGCAACATTCTCCAAAAACCCTGCTGGGAGCACCTCAGGTCAAGTCCACAGACTTTACTGCTGTCCACTACAAGGAACATGACCCCAAGCACTTACCTGCCTTAGACAAAGACTGCAAGCAATCACATTTTGATAGAGAAAGATTGCACAGAAACATAGCGCAAAACGGCAGAGCTGAACAGCACAACAGAATTACAAATACGTTTTACAAGGCTGACAAGAACGAGCATAGCAACCTAATTAACACACTACATACCTTCACAAAAGATAACACTAACAAGGCTAAACAAGGCATGCCACTTTTACGACAATACATACAGGAAGTGGACCAATGGGAAAGCAACAGTGACTATCATGAAGAGCCGAATGTGAGCCCTATGGAGATAAACGTAATAGCATTGAACAAAGAAGAGAGTTTGTACAAGACCAACAGCAAGCAGCTAATCAGCAAGCCGTTGGAGAACTTGATCAATGATGGTGGTCCCAGCCATAAAAACCAGTCTTCAGAATGGCACGAAAGCTACCGGCATGTACCGGTGGAGGCTGAGGAGCGTATATCTGATATAAGTAACACTGAACCACATCAACCAGAAAAAAACCTTGTGGGGCTTGAAACAGAGCAAGTTAACCGCGATCTACGCCCAGAGCGGGAAATTATTCTTCAGAGTCTAGACTCTGAAACTCCTATGCTGCCGATAAAGAAAAAATCAAAGGAGGCTACGATGGATTTAGACAAACCAACTACAGGAGAACAAGACTACTGGGAGATAAAAGATGAGGAGCATCAGCAACCAATGGGCAACCAGAGTTTGAGGGGGCATCAAGCGCAAGACAGTCAATCAAGGTAATGGCTGCAGACCATTGATGGACCATTGATCAGGTTATTTGAGAAAAATAAAAACAGCTAATTTTAAGTGTCTTCCCAAGAGACGCATTGTAGTTTTTCTAGCAACTGACTTGTTGAGTCTTCAACTGCTGTGCTTCAACATAACAGTGTTTAAGGTAATCAAAGTAGTGCAAATTTAAAAATTAGTTTAATTGGGAAACGTGAATTAAATTATGTGCATATTAACAACATTTGGCCTTTTGATCAACTTATTTTTGATTAGTCACATGATTATGTGCGTTATTTAAAAGGCTATTTTTGGTGTTAGTGAAGGCAGAGCTAATGAATTATAGCTACTACTCTTGGATTGTCACATCACATAACAGTGTTTAAGGTAATCAAAGTAGTGCAAATTTAAAAATTAGTTTAATTGGGAAACGTGAATTAAATTATGTGCATATTAACAACATTTGGCCTTTTGATCAACTTATTTTTGATTAGTCACATGATTATGTGCGTTATTTAAAAGGCTATTTTTGGTGTTAGTGAAGGCAGAGCTAATGAATTATAGATTTTCTCAAAGTGTGTCTTAATGTGAATAAATGATGAAAATTGTGTGTAGCAAAGTGCCGGACTCTCAGATCTCTTGTGGAGTTCATGGTGTGATGCTGTTCGTTGTGTTTGGGCTGGTCTTACACATCTTTTTCTCTCCAACAGGGACTGTCTGAGAGGAGAGCTTCTGAAAGTTTAAGGACTTCACTCCGCGCAGCGAAGAGGCCGAGGATCCCGTATTCATCCTGAACATTACATTTCTTGTTTTCTTTCAATATGACAGCCGATGAGATTGTAACACATTTGTGACAGTCAGTGGACTTGAGTTTTCGGAAGGTGGCCCAATCTAGAGAGTAGCCACTACAAATGTAGGTCTGATTTGATTTAGGTAAATTCTGTGTAGGAAACTATGATGTATATGCTTGAAACTGCACTATTGAGGGTGTACTGGACATTAGGAATGTCAGTTAGATATTGTGATAATTTGTAATATGTCAGATAATCAGCACTTCTGCAATGCCTTGGGTTTTACGATAGTCGTTGGGATATTCCAACCCGTTTTTCCTTCATGTCCAAATCAAATAAGTTCTCCATGGCTTATTTTTTTCACATAACATTGAGCAGTTAGCGACAAATCATGCACTATAACTCGCTTTAGTGGTGTCTGTCTGCACACACAACTAATTGGCCAGACATTGCCTTAAACGTCACCTTTCTATTTCTATGACTGGCTGCACAAACAAGCTTTTCAGCAACTGTGTTGATGTGTGTATAAATCGAGGATTTGAAATCCCAACAGAACTGCTGCTATATCTTCGGAGACTTTTTTTTTTTTTTTATATATAAGCATTAAGACTATTATATGTGAAAAGCTTAAAAAAAAGAAAAAAAAGAAATGTTAATTTATGGTGGAGAAAGTTTAAAACAGTGTGCTTACAATCCGAGGGGTATTACAGTTCTCATAGACAGTCAGCTCAAGTGCTCCGCTATCTGGATATTCCCTGTGTTTGAGTTGGGCTACGATATATAAATATATATAGTATATATATATATATATATATATATACACACACATTATGCATCATTTATATGCTGCTAAGTTCAGACCATCCAAAGTGAATAACAGGTGCTTTTCATCCCTTATTATTTGCATTTGTATCCAATGTGGTTTCTCTTTTAAAAGTTAACACAAAGATACTATCTGGACTTACAGTATTACCTTCCCATCAGTTCCCATTGTGCAGGTCTGTCTAAAAGAACACAGTGCACTGGAGTGTTATCCTTTCTACACATGGCAAATCTTTTGGTAATAAATGGAGAATGTCAAATTTAAGAACTGGTGTCTTGAATGCATTTCATGCCATTGAAAGCTATACACAACTTGGCAGAGACCAATTCTAAATAAACTTCCAACAGCTTTCTTGGGCTAAAACGATGCACATGCAAACAGTCAACGCACTGTCACGTAAATAAAGAGGGAGCAGAAGAAAACCATCTTGAGAAAATAAATGATTAGAATACCTTCCTGAGCGCAAGAGTCACAGAGAGGTCCCGGGTGCACGTTTCAAAAGGAATGAAACCTTGCCTAAGACTACAGCTTGGCTAATACATCATACAGGCCATTCTTCCAAGACAAACAGGCAGGGTCTTTTTACGCTCCCCCTCTTAGTTCTTCCTGAGGCCTGTTCTCAAAGCAAGACTCGGTGCTCGCTTCACACGGTTCTGGGAACACAGGAAGCTCTTCAACCCATTATTCTAAGTGTAACGCATCTTAAAGCATCAAGTTTTTGCAAAATCTCACCCATTATGGCATGTGGAAGACAAAATAAGACATTTGGATTTGGCTTCAAAAACAACATGCAGGTTAAGTTGTAGGGTTTTATTTTTAAATAACCTACAATTGAGCAAAAAAAAAAAACATGATCAGAGGTTATGGCATGAGCTCGGTAAGTTGGAAAAGGTTACATGGCTGCCACTAACAACAATTCTTCCCAGACTGGAGTGGAAAAAACTAAATGAAGATTCTTAAAGTCCATGTTAAAACAAGTCTATCCTTAAAACTTGATACAATTGCAAAATAAAATAAACTGCTCAAAAATCATAACAGAATTTGTTTTTGGCAATGTTGATTTCCCTCACATCCTAATAGTGATATTTTCAAGTAACAGATACAGGAGTTTATTTTTTTTTTTTTTATCTTATGGATACAGTCATCACACATTAAGTTAAACCCAGATGGAGACTCAAAGCCATGAAGACACAATCTGTAGGATACTGGAGGCAAAAAAAAGAAAAGAAATTGGTTCACATTTACACTGGAAACAAAACCCTGATATATATGCTGTAACAAAAAAGAAATTCACATTCTGCATGTTTAAGGAAATATCGTTGAAGCCGTAGTCCCCTGCAGCTCATCCAAGCATCCTACTTTGTGGTCTGGACATAGTTTACACAAGAACTCCAGTTTCAAAGTGAACAGTTCATGTAACACTCACTTAAACACGCAGCTTTTCATGGTCATATTTCCCATAAAATATCACACCTGGTGTACACATTTCTTCTCCTAAAAAGGCGTATGGGTGTACTTTAAGCAATTCTTTGATTTTTTTTTTTTAATCTTCTATTAAAATATAGAATTCATTATTAATACAGGAGGGCTAAAAATACAGCAAAACTAAATATGACACGATCCACAAAGCAAGTTGTAGTTGAATACAGTAGCTATAGGACCATGTAAGTTCATAGTTTTCAGACATCCTTAGGCCCCGTTGTCCAGAGATGGGAGGGGAGTGAGACAGTAAAAGTGTTCAAAAGGTCAAGCCACTGATTCTCCAGTTCCTGGCTTAAAGACCATGCAACCTCACGCACAGGCCGTCCATACTTCATTCTTAAAAGACCGACCCAATAAAACCTACAAGATTACAGGTCACAGCCTAAAAAAAATAAAAATCAGTCACCCAAATCATGACATTCAGGCCTCCTCGACACTATGCTTGCTTCACATCTTTTCCCTTGCCAGGTTCATAACCTGCTGGAAATCACTTAGACTAAAAGTATCTATTAAAAATAAAAATTTGAAAAAAAAATTTTGGGGTGGAGGGAGAAGTAAAATTGCAAAGAGGATTTAAAATTCATAGTCTTTCTCAGCCATGTCGATAGCCCAGGCAAATTTCTCACGCTGAGTTTTGTTGTAGATCTTCTCTATCGGGACGCCAAGCTTCTTGCACCTGGAGGAGGAAAGAATAAAAAGGAATAAGACACCGAAACAGACAAGGGGCATCTTACTGCACGACATATGAAAGCGCCATCTCACCAGGCTACTGAGATACGTGGGTCCAGGTAGTTGAGCTTGGAGGTACCCAGGGCGATCTGCTTGTTCTCCTCCCGGTCGGTGGCCTGTACCTCCAGCTTCATCAGCTGCTCCTCGATCCTCTGCACAGCTTTCTTCTTGGACTCCACGGCCCTGGGTTGCCAAAACAACCAACATTAAAGCAGCATACAATCACATACGAACGCACAATGAGCATCTAAAAGGCCAAATTCAGTTGGGCGCCCCTTCAAGCAAATATTTTGACACTCACTTCTTGGATTTTTCATCTCTGCGTACTTTGGCGTCAGCCTTGGCACTCTTCAGTTCTCTTTTAGCATCGGCAAGCTGTTCCTTCTTTGCATCAATCTGGTTTTAATGAACAAGTGAATGCAGGAAAGGCAAACATTTAGATGTCCAACAGACCCTGTACTAACAAAAAAAAATAAAAATACCAGCATAAAGACAAAGAGGACAAGGTCACAAACGTCTCTTGCCTTTGTCTGAAGATTTTGCATGGACTTCTCAAACGTCTTGGGTGGTGCCCTCTGGTGGTTACACAAGACGGCTACTGCTCTGTTAGCACGATTGTAGGAAAGGATCTTTGCAGGAACATTGTCTTCAGCTGAACAAATACACTTGAGGTCACATACTGTACATATCATGACCGGGTCTGTTAACTCGATCCTCTTTACATACGGTGAACGGTACTTACAGGTTGTGAGTTCATTCAGCTGCTGCTGTAGTGTGATGGAGGCATTGTAAGTACGGAACACTTTAGCCGTAAGTCCATCCATCAGCTCCTGAAGATGCTTGTTCAAAATAGAGGTCTGCAAGAGAGGGAAGTCATTTTACATTCATGTTACATACATTGTCTTAATTCAAGGCATTCAGCTTAAGGTTGTTTTTTTGTTTTTTTCATTCCAAGCAATAAATAACGGACTGCTGAAAGCGATGGCTTACATTGAGACGGTCGAAGAGGTCATCCTCCGGCTCCTTGTCCTCCATGAACAGCTGAAGATTTTTGAAAACCTGCAACATTTTAAACAGGATTTTACACAAAAGACAGAACCAACACATCTGTGCTAATCAATAGCACTCAGATGAACATTTTTTCATTTGTACACCAATAATTTGAAAACCACATTTGATTTATACAGTGCCTTTCACAAACCCAAGGACATTTGCAAAATAGAACAACAAAAGACCATAACCAAACACAATGACAAAGAGAAATAAAAACAAAAACAGCAAAAACTGGCATGAATTGATGACTGTAGAGAAGCAACAAACTGAGCAACGACAAGCCAATGAATTTGAGTTTTGAAAATATGGGAACACGAATCTTCACGTGGCATCTACTACCTACCCATGTAGCACAATCAAAACTCGTTAACAGTTAATAACTTGGCAACAAAGATCCTGACTGCATACAACAGCATGATAATAAATCAATTCTATTGCATATTGTGGTGCTAGACCGTGACAAGCTTTAAAAACTGTAAATAGGACTTGATTACATGCAATTAGTAACCTGTAAAGTTGCAGAAGAAATTTTTGGTGTAAGGACATGGGCTGCAGAATTTCGGATATATTAGCTCTGTTCCAAAACCTAATGAGACGCCTCAGGCAGCATCCTAACCGAAAAGGAACCTCTTAAGCGACTGATTTGGAATGCTCCATTTCAGCAATCTGTGCAACACACAAGAGCGCTGCGGACCTCTGCATAAGCTTTTCAATATTGAATTAAGTATTTATAAATCCACATTTAGTTTTCCTTGTCCACCATCTTGGGGAAACTCAACTTTTTGCAATAACTTACAAGATTTACCTAATCTGAAGAATACATGCGATACGGTCTTATAATTCAACTAAAATGAGCCTTCAGAGGTGTGCTTTTGATGCCTTAAAACATCGTCTCTGTAGGGGGTGGGGGGGGGAAACACTACAACTTACCCTCTTCTCTACGGGGACTTTGTTGTAGTATCTAATGGAGTCTTTACCAAGGAAGTCGAACTCCACCACATACTCCTGGCCGTCCATCTCTTGATGGAGAGTTAGATGTTCCACTCTGAGTGAGCAGCAGCCCACTGTGTCAGCCGTCTCTCCTTCCTCCTTTTCATTACCTGCTCTCAGAGCCAGCTACACCAGAGAAAAATGGAGATGCATAACACCGTTCTGCTTTTCAACTTCTGCATTAGCTCAAAAAGATACTACAAACATCACAGTAAATGTACGCCCATTGAAAAAAAAAAAAGATTAACTGAACCAAATGCACTTACTCTTTATTAAATGCTTTTAAAGAGTAATTCTGAATTAACCTACTCATCACAAGCTTTCACGGTTATGGGCTTGACGCGAAGGATGTTACATTGATCTAAGCAATGCAAACCTTGTCAATAAAGTAAAGAGCAACAGCACGCTGTCTGATCCTCATCTCTTTTGATTTCCAGTCCTCGCGGTATTGCGCACGGATCCGATCCACACACTTTTTCAACCGACGGGCCATTTCATATTTCTGCCAATCCTTCTCTCCCTGCAAGAAACAACACGTAGGATACACCAATATTAAAATTATGGCCAAAACCAATAATTATGTTCATGTTATGGCAGAAACTGAAATGGCTAATATCTATACTACAGTCTATGAAGATTTATTGTTTAAACTGCCTTTACAAAGGCAAAAATGGTACCAATGTACAATACAGTTCAAAAGTTTGGCAAGTAAGATTTTAAAGATTTAAAAAAAAATTAAAATAGTATTTTATTCAGCAAGGATGCATTAAATTGCATCAGATTTTTACAAACGATTTTGATCTTTCTATTCAACAATAGAACATTTTAGAAAAAATTAAATAATTGGTCCCACTTTATATTAAGTGGCCTTTACTATGTACTTGCATGAAAAAATAAGTACATTGTACTTATTATGTTCATATTGTATTGCAAAACACTTTTGCTGCTATTGAGGTTGGATACGGGTAAGGTTAGGGACAGGTTTGGTGGTATGGGTAGGTTTAAGGGTGGGTTAAGGTGTAAGGGATGGGTCAACAGTGTAATTATAAATGTAATTACATAAACAGATGCAATTACATGCAGGTATTTTTTTTTTTTAATACAAGTACACTGTAAAAACATGCATGTACACAATAAGTGCATTGTATAAAATTATTAATTTAAATGTAAGTACATAGTAGTTAAGGCTACTTGATATAAAGTGGGACAAAATAAGAGGAAATACAATACTTGGCTAAATCAGTGCTTAGAAATCCAAATTCTATTTCAATAGCATGCCTTCAGTCATGTGCTAATTTTTACCTTGATCCTTGAACTGGGGTTCAACATGATGTATTTGATAGAGCCTTGGATATTCTCGGTCCAGGACACCAGCCATGTCACCTTGTTGTCATGACGCACCTCCTTCCACTTTGTCCCAGGTGGTGGTTTAGGATGATTTGAGTCCCTACAATGAGAAGCACATGATGTAAAGATGTTTTAAACCAAATGGAATGATGTCAGACTGTGATGAGCACTCCTTACTTGCTGCAGTTAATGATAATGTCCTCAGGACGGATACGACGCTTCAGCATGCCCATTTTCGGATGGTCACCTCTGCCACGGAACAAGCCTGGAGGCTCAATACGGAAGTTAGCAATGCGTTCTTTGTGATTGTCCATGACACAGAAGCCATACTCCTGCAGAATGCGCTCATTCTCCGCTTTAATTTTCTTGAAGGGGGGAAAAAAAAAAAAAGTTCTAAAAACAAAACATGCCAAAATATCACCAAAAGTCATTTTAGAAATTAGAGGTAAAACCGTACCAGTTTCTCTTCTTTAGTCATGGCCTTCCTGGCTTCGGATTGAGCTTTGAAATATTCACTCATTTCAGAAAAGTCACACTTGTTCAGATCTGTGAGTTTGGATTTCTCTTCAGATGTCATTTCCTAAAGTGACAAGATCGTGCAAAATTAATAAAAGTCATAAGCAATTATTTAAAAAGCAAGGGGGAAATATGACAGATTGGCAACATTACCTTCCTCCAATCTTTGAAGAAGTTTTTCCGAAAAACATCCTTAGTGGTGTACTCATGGTCCAACATTTTTGCGAAGAAGGTGGCCACTTCCTCTGCACCAGGGCTGAGTTTCATGTGTTTTCCTGGTGACGGACCATAAAATATCAATTAAGCAGTTTGAGAACAGCAGCAAAAGAACAGAATCCATCTTTTATCAGGACTTTTCAAAGTTATTAAAGCCTTAACATCTGAATGTAGTAAAGCCAGTTATAGAAGATAAAGGCCAACATCCAGAATAAAGAACTTTGAGTTTGGTTGGAAAAATCTACATTGTCTTTAACAAACCAACGGAAACAAAACACAGACAGGGCATGCGTGTTCAACATAACAGAGGTGTTTAAAACATCTGAAGTTTACACAACCCAACACCTGCTTCTCCGACAGTTTTGATGGCAGTCCAAACAGAGCAACCCCTGAATAGGATGATCTACCCACCTTGTGAACTGCCATTGAGTCATTAAAGGACGTACCGTCATAATAGAACTTGACATTGCTGGGAAGAGGCTCATATGGTGGCGCAAATACAGGCCCTTTGTGTTCCAAAAACTTCCATTTCACGCCATCCGTGTACCTCTCTTCCTCCCACCTAAATGGTATGAAAAAAGCACAGAGATGGAAGGATGTAAACCAACATCCCAACACAAGCAACCAAAACGGCTGTGCAAAGTGCCAGAACAAGGGCATTTGTGATCTGCACCATATCCCCGAATAAATCAGAAGACGAGGAGTCAGCCTACAATTACTTAACCATCAGAGGATGTGAGACTAACCATTTCCACTTCTCTTCTGGCTCTTTTTTTGCTTTTTTCTTGCCATCTGTGACAGCTTCTCCTTTCTTGACTTTTGTCTTCTTTTTGGGCTTAATGTCCTATGGCAAATCAAAAGATTCACATGAATTATGCTTAAAGACAATTCTTGTAAAGTGTAACCTGGAGAGATAAGCTTCATCCACTAACCTCCTCTTCCTGTTCCCGTTTCTTTGCCTTCTTTTCTCTTTCCTCGGTTTTAATTTTTTTGGGCTTGAACTCGGCACTGAAGAAAACAAAAACATTAAGATGTCTGGTATTTCCACACCTTTCATTTACCATATAACCTGCTCTATTTGCCTGAACGCTTCACGTTTTAAACAAAGATTAGCGAATCAATGTGCTTTCGTGACTTAAGAAGATTGGAAGGTTCTTATGTCACATGCGAGTTCAAGATGGCCTGCGAATGCAATGTCACTTACTCGTCATCATCGCGCTCTCTCTTCAGAGACTTCTCGTGTTTAGGAGAATGGTAGAAGTCATTATTCTCAGGTTCAGACTTGATGAAAGGGCTGCGTGAAGGATAAGACAAGCATTATTCCTTTTCTTGCTCATCTGATCAAAACTGAGAACCCTTTTAAATTGTCTCAAGATAAATTCATGCTTCTAATTATGTGATTACAACCACGCAGTTGATCTTAAAGGGATCATATCACAAGGAAATGAAATTTTCCTTGATCTTTGGAGAAACAATTCACTTTAGAATGAAAACATACTGTAACTTTCAGAACTCAAATCCCCTCAGTACAAAACAAGCAACCATTGAAAGAAGTTGAACTGATGACTTCAGAAACCCAAAGCATTAATATCTGATCCCAATTTACATAATCGCACCTATTTGGTGTTTAGAGGAAGTATAGATACCATTACACCAAACAACAGAAGATTAAGAGTAAAAAGGTGTAGGAAGTTCACTAATATTGTGGGGTATGTAGCAACTAAATGATTCCCAACTTTGGAAAATTAAGTGTGCTTCTAGTCATTTCAGTATTATTCTAATTTGAGTTGCTGATTTTTCTACATATTTTTTTTCATGATTTCATAAACAGTCCTGTCATTTAAAAAAAGAAGAAGAAAACAAAAAAAAGACTTCTCTTAATAAACACGTCAGAGCTACTCGTGGCATTCATATCTTATAGTTGTGTCATTCACCGTCACATTTAGGGCTCTTACTCACCTTTCAAATCCATTCTCTTTCTCTTTTTTGGGCTTGCCATCGAAAGACTTTTGAGGGAAAAAAAAAA